ATATATATATATATATGATAAATGTACTAGTTACTCTTTGCCTAAAAAAACATCTATTCTGTTTTAATCAGTGGACTTCTCCATTTTTAAAAATTGTCAAAATAATCTTTAATAATGTCATGTGATCAGAAATTTCATATCTAATCTAAATCTCTGATTCTCATGAAGGAAGAGGAACATTTTAAAAATCAGCATATATGATAAATGTACTAGTTACTCTTTGCCTAAAAAAACATCTATTCTGTTTTAATCAGTGGACTTCTCCATTTTTAAAAATTGTCAAGGAAATCTTTAATAATGTCATGTGATCAGAAATTTCATATCTAATCTAAATCTCTGATTCTCATGAAGGAAGAGGAACATTTTTTAAAAAATCAGCTTTATTGAGGTATTTTCTACATACATTAAGATTTATCAGTTTTAATTAAACATTTCATTGTGTTTTTGACAATGTGTACAGCAGTATAACCACTGTGATAATCCAAATACAATATTTCTGTCACCCCCAAACATTCCCTTGTTCTCCTTTGCCATTAGGTTCCTCTCCTAATTCCTCATCCCTGCCCCAGGCAACCACGGATCTGTTTTTTGTCATTACAGCTTTGACTTTACTAGAATTTTATATAAATGTTTATAGTCTTTTGTGTCTGGCTCTGGCTTCTTTCACTTAGCATAATGCATTTGAGATTATCCATGTTGTTTCATGTATGAGTAGTTCCTTTTCATTTATATTTTTAAATAGATTTTTTATTGACTTCAGAGAGGGGAAGGGAGAAGGAGAGAGAGATTGAAACATCAAAGATGAGAATCATTTATTGGCTGCCTCCTGCGTGCCCCCTACAGGGGATTAAGCCTATAACTAAGTCTTTTGATGCATTGCCTGCCAATTCAAGTACCTCTGCGGTGAGGTACTCCAGAATGGCTGTGCTGTACACAGCTGCGGTCGCGCCTACACGTCCATGGCTGGTCGTCCTAGATTTCAGGTGTCGATGAATACGGCCCACCGGAAACAGCAAGCCGGCTCTCTGCGAGCGGAAAATCGCCTTTGTCTTGGCCTTTCCGGAGTCTTTCCCAGCCTCACCGCCAGCCATGTCGATTTCTGCTGAAGCTCAAGCGAGCAGGGCAGAGAAAGGAGGAGCCAGACACACTGGAAGATCCCAGCACCGACTCCCTTGCACCGCGATTCAAGCGATTCAAACTGCGCTGTCTCCTGCCTTTCCCGCTCTCTTTATACGGCAGAATGTTCCCTCATCCCAGGACGCATCCTTGAGGCTTCAGCCAATGAGCAAGCACAGAGAAGGCTGGAGGGGCGGGCGCTTGGCAGCCCGAGCCGCTATTGGGACATGGGAAAGGAGGGAGGAGAAGGGAGGAGATGGGAGGAGAAGGGAGGGATGGGAACGGGGAGAAGGAGGGCACTGGGGCGGGAGGCAGAAACAGAGCCAAGAGAGACTCTTAAAAGCAGCAAGAGGAAAGCAGTTAGTTACCTACAAGGGAATTCCCATACAACTGTCAGCTGATTTCTC